CCCCCGCTGCTTCTGTCAGGGGGCAGGAGCTGCTGCCATGAAGCAGCCCCTGTCTACAGGGGGTCCCAGTGGGGTGTTGGAATCCCTATGCATATAGCGACTGTTTCATGGTAGCAACTGTTTCATGGTATGCGGGACTCCCAGTAGGGAGTTGAGATCAAAACCTGCTGAGGCTCCGCAACTTAAAAGGCGGTAGCGGTTGGGCAGCCTTCTACTTGGTTCCTACTACCTTTTAAATTGCAGAGCCACAGTGCAATTTAGTCCCGCACTCGGAGGGAGCTGGGACTGAGCTGAGCTGCATATTGATGAATCAAGTATCTGGGCTGTCCGCTGCCCGCGTGTTCTGCCGCTTTGCTCTGCTTTGCTCCCCATCCCCCTGGTCTGCAGACCGGCTGACTACAGGAAGCCCCTGCCCCGGGCTTCCTGGAATCAGCCACTGATCAGTTTCAGCAGCGGCTGAATCTGGACGCCAGTTCCGACTTACAGACAGATTCAACTTAAGAACAAACCTACAGTCCCTATCTTGTACGTAACCCGGGGACTGCCTGTAAAGTAAAATATTATCTCTAACACAAAAGGTCTCAATGTTTTCTTTATTACAGGAAGCCCCTGCCCCGGGCTTCCTGGAATCAGCCACTGATCAGTTTCAGCAGCGGCTGAATCTGGACGCCAGTTCCGACTTACAGACAGATTCAACTTAAGAACAAACCTACAGTCCCTATCTTGTACGTAACCCGGGGACTGCCTGTAAAGTAAAATATTATCTCTAACACAAAAGGTCTCAATGTTTTCTTTATTTAATTGCAGGGGAGGGTAACTTTTTCTGGGTTTGGGGTCACTTCCAACTGATGTTTCTGTGGGTACCACAGAAGTGAGAAGCAAAAAACCCCTCCAAAAACCCCCAATGCCCACTCATGGGGCCCCAACTGAGACTCCTCACTTCTGGTTCCCCAGCATCATGGAGTGAGGGGAAGGGAAGGAGGGGATTGAGGTCCAGGACTTCTCTGGGGTTCTAGAGTTAGTGGATTTTATGGACCTCCTTAGACTTGGGCATAGGGACAAAAACAAAGGGTACAGTGTGCAAAACAGGGCTGCCAGGAAGTAGGATAGGCATGGGGTGCAGGATCTGGGAAGGAGGTGGGGTGCAGAAGGAGAAGTTGTGAGTGTGACGTAGTGGGGGTACCTTGCTGGCTACAGCACAGCCCAGCAGGGCAGGGGATGGGTCACTATGCAAAAAGGGTCTCAACCTGTCCCACCAGCTACCCCCCAGGGAGAGGAACAAAGGAAGGTGGAATGCTGCCCCTGGCTGGGGGGCAGGGCTGGAGGAGAGTTGGTTAGTTTCTGTCTGGGAAGCAGGGGAGAAGGAACTGGGGAGGGGGCTGGGATTGTAGGGCCCAGCCACCCCACCCCCCCATCTCTAGGGGGGGCACTGAGGCCTCTTAGCCCCAGTTCCTGTAACCAGATGACATCTGTGCTGTATCCGGGAGAAGCAATAAACTCCCTCTATTCTACTGGCTGGCGGAGTCTGTTCGTGCCATTACGGGGGGGTGCAGGAGATGGAAAAACCCCAACGCGCCGTCACAGTGAGGTCTAGGTTGGGAGTAGGGTGCAGAAACAGGTTGGAAGTAGGGTGTCTGGACAGGTGGAGGGAACAGCAGCAAGGGAGGGTGCAGCATGTGGCCAGGAGAGAGGGTTCAGGAACAAGGGAGTTTCGGAGCAAGCTAGGGGTGCCAGATCTTTGGGGGGGGGGGAGAAAGGGGGAGTGAGAAAATTGGGATAGGATGGTCTGAGCATGAGGAGGGACCTTACCTGGCTTTGTGCCCCCTTGCAGCTATGGCCACAGCCACGCTGTCCCAGCCACTCCAGAAAGAGATACTTCTCGCCGTCACAGTGAGGTCTAGGTTGGGAGTAGGGTGCAGAAACAGGTTGGAAGTAGGGTGTCTGGACAGGTGGAGGGAACAGCAGCAAGGGAGGGTGCAGCATGTGGCCAGGAGAGAGGGTTCAGGAACAAGGGAGTTTCGGAGCAAGCTAGGGGTGCCAGATCTTTGGGGGGGGGGGAGAAAGGGGGAGTGAGAAAATTGGGATAGGATGGTCTGAGCATGAGGAGGGACCTTACCTGGCTTTGTGCCCCCTTGCAGCTATGGCCACAGCCACGCTGTCCCAGCCACTCCAGAAAGAGATCCTTCTGCCAGGGCCCATGTGATCCCGGTCCAGCCCCGTTGCTGCTGTTGACACAGTCCAGGACCACCCTAGAGTTCCTGCTGCAACTGTGGTCTGGGGCTGGCCCCGGGGGCACTGCTGCCACTCAGTCTCAGGTCTGTCCCAGACCATGTAGTGGCACTCTGGGGCCGGCACTGGACCGCATGGGGTAGTGGTTCCTCCAATGTTGCCTCCTCCCACTGCAACCTAACCTGCTGCAGGGAGGAGGCAGCGCTCTCTAGCAGCTGTGTGGGTGAGGAGGGGCAGCACTGAACTCCCTCCTGCATGATGCTGAAGTCAGCTTGCATGCCATATGGTTGCCAGCCTCTGTATTAGAGCAAGTAAAAATCTGATGTGCTGTCTTGTAGTGTTAATGTGGGTGCTCATCTTATAAATTGCCACTAAATGGTTTTGACTAAATGGTCTTAGTCAAAAGCAAAACGCCAGTTGCAGTTCTATCTGCAGAATTTTATTTATCCAACTCAACAGTCGCTCCCTCCCTTCCAAATGTTAACTTCTTCACGTAGCATACAGATTGGCACCACTATTACACAGCTACCATACTCTCCTCAGAATAGCTGTTAAAAGAAGTTTCCATGCTTCTATCGGCGGACCTCTATGACACCAATATATTCAATCACAACCATCGCCCTGGCAAGCAGATACCTGTACTCAGGCAGATAAGCCTCAAGCCTGCCTGAGCGCCACTCAATAGCCTGACAAACTATTGACACCCAGACATGTACAAAACAAAATTGCTGTTAAAAACACAAGCAGTTTGTGCTTACATCTTCCTTCAAGTGAAACACTCATTTCTCACTGAAGAGACAAGGTAGGCAAGATATATTTGGATCAATGTCTGTGGTTGAGAAAGACAAACATTTGAGTTACACACAGCTGAAGAAGAGCTTAGATAAGCACAAAAGCATGTCTCTTTCACTAATAGAAGCTAGCCCAATAGAAGATAGGATCTCACATCTCGCATATCCTGGGACCAACAGGACTGTAACAACATTGCAAACTTACCACTAACACAAATAAGACCCCTTTCTGCAGTTAAGCCCTATAAAGGCCATTAAACTCCGCCTCCCCCCCAGTACCGTAGGCCGGAATTACGCTTGATCCAAGCCCCACTCCAGA